AAAATAAAAAAATAAAAAAAGGATGAAGACATAAGTATGACAATAAACAAATATTAGAAGGGTAATTGACACAAAACGTCCCTACCTTTCAAGTGTATTATGGAAAACATCCCTACTTTTCATTTTTTGGCGCAAAATGTCCCTACCTTCCACTTTCTTGGCGCTGAACGTCATTTTCATCAATTTTTGACGATTTTACCCTCCATTCAAATAAAACAAAAAGAAAAGAAAGGAAAAAAAAAACAAAAAACTAATTACAACCACATTCCCAAATTTTCTAAAAATTGCAAATGGTAACTTAATAATTACCATATTAAATAAATTGAAAAAAATCAAAAAATTAAGAAAAAAATTAAAAAAAAGGGTTGTCTTCTTCACCCCACGCACCCCACCCCACGCTACTATTCATCATCTTCTTCCCTCATCCCACCATACAAAATTTCTCTGCACAACAAATCCTCCAAATCCGAAACCCCATTACATCTCTCTGTACAATGGGGTTTGATACTAGATATAAAAATAAAGGAGCTTGTACAAAGAGGGGAAGTGCAGAGAGATGTAATGGGGCTTTGGATTTGGAGGATTTGTTGTGCACCAAAATAATTATTTTGGGGAAAAGTCTCTTTCTGTCTCTCTTTCTTAATTTTTTTCTTACAAAGAAGAAGATGAATAGTAGGGTGGCGTGGGGTGTGGTGAAGAAGACAACCCATTTTTTTAAATTTTTTCTTAATTTTTTGAATTTTTTTCAATTTATTTAATATGGTAATTATCAAGTTACCATTTACAATTTTTAGAAAATTTGGGAATGTGGTTGCAATTAGTTTTTTGTTTTTTTTCCTTTCTTTTCTTTTTATTTTATTTGAATGGAGGGTAAAATAGTCAAAAATTGATGAAAAGGACGTTCAGCGCCAAGAAAGTGGAAGGTAGGGACGTTTTGTGCCAAAAAATGAAAGGTATAGATATTTTTTACAATACACTTAAAAGGTAGGGACGTTTTGTGCCAATTATCTAATATTAGAGACATTTATTGCTACCTAAAAGTGGTACACATATTTAAAATAAATAAAAAATAATTGTATAGAAGAAAAATTGTGTCATTAGAATTACCAATTACCACTTGATTGAGCCTCATTCTTTTGAAAAAAAAAATACATTTTTTAACAGTATTTTGAAATCATTTTAATCACACATTCTCTAATAAAATAATATTACACACAAATAAAAAAAATCTTATTTTTTAACCACACATTTCTCAGCAATATACTATTTAAAAATTCATTCTTTTCCCTAAAATGGGGCTCAAACAAGGGCTTAAACAACTATAGAGTTATCCTTTTTAATTTTACAAGGACACCCATGAAATCTCTTACGTGAAAGAAAATATTAGAAAAAAAAAATTATATACTAAGGCCCTATTTGATTTTCATTTTTATCAAAATACATTTATCACTCTTTTCTTTTTAACCACATATTCTTCATTAAAATAATATTACACGTAAATCAAAAAAAATTCTTTATTATTCATCCAAACATTCACTATTAATTTACTATTCTAAAATTCATTTTTTTCAACAAAATGAATGTCAAACACCCTCTAACTAAAAAAACACCTTCATCGTACAGGGACAAGAAAATAAACAACGTAATAAAAAAATATTTGTCGTAACACAAAACATCGCTCTCTTCTCGATCATATTTTCCCAAAGAGAAAAAAAGTCTCCACTCCAAAAACAAGAAAATAGAAAAAGAATAAAAATAAAAATAAGGAGGAGGTTGTCAATAAGATTTTGTGATGGGACAATGTACAGATAACGTCACCAGTTAGAAGTTGCATTTTCAAAAGGCTATCGGAGCCCTCTCTCTCTCTCTCTCTCTATATATATATATCAACCCATTGGACAAGACATTTTGATCACCTCATTGGTTGACCATGAATTAAACAAATTATTACATTTCACTGACCCTTTAGACAATAAATAATAATGGTTGCCATTAAATAAATTATTAAATAATAATATGATTAAACAAAAAAAAAAATTTTTGAATTTACGAATAAAATATTTTATTATGTGAATGTTGATTGAAAATGAGTATATAGAAAAATTTTTTAAAAATAATGGTTGCCAAACAGGGACTTTCTTTAGAAAATATAGTTTAATTAATTTATACTTTTATTTATAATTTTTTCTTACTCTCCACATTTTGATAATAAAATTAAATAAGTACTTTCAGATATCTCAACAGTAAATTAAAATTATTTTGTCTTCCACCTATTTAATAACCAAAAGGTCTAACAAAAGATTAAGCCACGAAAAAAGCTACACGTACAAGGGGCAGGTTTCAACGTCACTGTTTGGAAGTGAGCCTCACATGTATTTTTTTTTTTTTTTAAATGTGGGGCCCGTCCCCACTTGTGTCTTGCCTACCGAGAACAGGTCCCTGTGCTTTTAGCTTCTCACTTAAGCCATATAGCAATTAACATAATTTAGTCTTGAAAAAAAAAAAATTTTAAAATTAGAAGTGCTGATTTCCTTAAGGGCTTGGAATGACAACAATGTTGAATAGCTCGACATAAAATTCTTATACATGATGCATGGTAGAAATGTCATAATCCGTTCTTCCACTATAATCCTATCTTATATTCCCCTAATGTTTTTTCTTTCTTTATCATCATGTAATGCCATCAATCAAGTGGTGGAGAAACAGCTTTGCTTGAAGTTGCTGCGTCAAGGGTTCGAATCCTGAAATATGGATTTGGCTCTTGGGTAAGTGCAAGTGTACAAGCAGCCTTCCACCTTGTACCCTTGGAGATATAACCTGCGATTTACCTTTCTCACGATACTCCAGAGCAGGGCTGGTGGGAGACCCTTAAGATTAGGGTTTAACCCTTTAATCAAGTGTTGGAGAAAGTCTCTACAGAAATTATACTTTACAATTACTGCACTTGTTTGACTGAAATCTCTCCATTTCATAAGTGAATTATAGACTTGACTTCTAATACTAAACCCCCAAAATCTTAGATGAAGAAAGTCAAATTACAGGAAATGATGGGCAATGATGACTAAGGAAGAAAATATAAACTTAAGAAATTGAAGGCGAACTCAATCAAATTATCAGATTGCAAATTTTAATAGGATTCTCTGTTGCCAACAATTCAAAATCCTCTCAGCAAATCTTAGGTCATCAGAACAGTATCTTGGACTCCACACCCAAAATCTGTACAATGATTAATATATGAGAATTTGTGTTTCTGAAAATTTAAAAATGAAAAGAACTAGGGGATAAACGTCTAAAGAGTCAAATTACCCTTAGACCATCAATGGCAGGAGAGAAGGATTCGACATATTGAGATGAATCTTGCTGGATGGACAGGGTCCAAGCAAATTAACCCTATTGAGATCGATCTCTCTTTCCATCTTTCAAGATCAGATCGAGAGTTCTAGCAGAACGAGCATTAAACAATCATTCTTTGAATAATCTCGTTCGAGTTCTGATGTCCTATTTTAGTTAGATTCGACACAATAAGAAGATTTTGAAGGCTTCCATGACAAGTGTGGTATTGACTGAATTGGTACTAATTGAAAGGGTAGTAAGGCCTCGTTTGTTTCTCATTTTTAGAAGAATGAGAATGAAAAATATAATCATTACTGGCCCCACGCAAGAGATGAAAATTCAAATTTAGTGGTTTGATATGATGGATAACGATCATATTTTTCATTTTAATGAGAAAATAATGGGAACCAAACAGTGTCTAAATATGTTTTTTGAAGTAGTCAAACAAGCTTTCGAATTTGGATATGTTATGAATGGAAAAGATGACAATGAGTTTCAACTCGTTGAGCGTCACTGAATAAATGCGATCAAAAGTAATGTCTAGCAGCATGAAATGTGCGCAGATTTATTTGGATCCGATTACTTTACTTAATGCTGGATGACACGCCTAGACTCACAAATTTTTTCTTCCTCTGGAATCGAAGAATTGGATCAATTCTTCTTTCCTAATTCAATATGATTCTTACCTTGAACGTCATTTGCATATAACTAACCAATGCTATTGAAAAATGCCCTTGCTGGATTCTAAACCTTGAGACTTAAGAGCAGGAGATGTTCCTCACATCTCGACCCAAATCTCTAAACCTGAAAGTTATTTCCTTTTCATTTTTTCTTCGAAAGTCATATTATGGTGTATATTATATATTTTTAAAAAAAACGTAGAAATGCAAGACAAATATCAATGATGATGTCCATTTTTTGCCCAAAAAAAAAAAAAAAAAAAATTTGAACTAGTGATTTGATGGAGAATATGCAATTAAAAAATAAGGAAAAGTTTCAAATTTATGTTTAATATTATTTTATTGAAGGATATATGATTTAACCCTTGTTTGAGCCACATTATTTTCCTTAAAATGAATATTTGAATAGTGTACTGATGAAAAATGTGTGGTTAAAAAGTAAAAAAAAAATTTGAATTTGCGTATAATATTATTTTATTGAAAAATGTGTGATTAAAATGATGTCAAATTATTGTTTAAGAATATATTTTTTTGAAAAAATTTGACTCAAACATGCTCTTAATATGAGAGAAATGTATTTTGACAAAAATGAAAATCAAACAAAACCATAATCTCACTCTGATTCCAATCATATCAACTCTAGCAATAGCAAAACTTGACTAAGTGCTTGTTTGACAACTATTAGCCCCCGTTTGAGTCCCATTACATTAAATTCTATTACATTTCATTTTTTTCTATCCTATTTTCAACCACACAATCTTTCATAAAATAATATTATACGTAAATCGAAAACTTTTTATTCTTTTTCAACCACTCATTTTTCAAAATAACACTATTCCCCCCATTAATTTTTCCACGTAATGGGCGTCAAACAGGGACTTAATCTAATTGATGATTTGTTACATGATCATTTCTAACCACATATTCATACGATAAAATATTCTACACGCATCCTACTTTTTAACCACTCATTCTCCAAAAACTCACTAATAAAAACTCATTTTTTAAACAATAATGGTTGTCAAACAAGCTTTGAGTTGAAAAGGAAAAGAAGAGAAATTGAAAAGTAAGAAATTCACCCCCTCGCCAACATTTCTGTTCCACTATTGATTACAGGGTGCCTCTAATTACAATAGCCATGCTAGCATTTGCAATTATCAGCTCTACAATTGTAAAGATGCCAAACATATAGTTGTGCTTAAAAGTTGCTTTTTAAGTCGATCAAACTTGGGAAATCAACCATAACACCAAAAAAACCTAGCATCCCAACTGTAGATGCCTGTCTGTTCCTGAAAGTCAAGAAAGGGATCAGATAATTAATTAAAAAAAAAAAAATGGCCCACGAAAATATAATACGAAAAAAACTAGCACGAGTAACAGAAATCAGAGGTTAAGGACAGATATATTAGAGACAGAAATAAGACAGGACTATAAAGAATTTTTTGTCTTAGAAGAGCGCAGGTAAAACAAAACCATTCAAACGATAATTCCCTTTATGTTTGCAGTACTAACATTGACATGTTGACAACTAGAATTAAATAATTATTTGACAGCTTAGAGCTTTTCACAACTATATCAGAACAGCTTGAAGTTTTGAGTTTCAAGTCCCAACACCACCCATTTATCAAAATTGTGAACACACCATGTATTTAATAAAAGAACAAGTCCAATGTGCAGATGAAGGACCGTGTTGATAGCTAATTTAAATAAATAAATGTTTTCCCTCTCTAAAGGCTTAAGCTTCCAAACTAGATTTTTTTTTTATTTTTTTAATTACCGTAGGTGTCCGAATCAAATTACGCATACCTCGACTAATTTCATATTGCCCTGAAGTTTACAGCCAACTCATCTCAGTGGCTCTGTGAAGACTTGAACTAGTGATCATTAGAGAGCAGATCTAAAGTCTGACCACTGAGCTACTCCTCAGAGTTAAAACTAGATTGGTCATAGGATAGAACTTACTGAAAAGCCTTGCCAAGTCAATAGGGGAAATGAGAGAGAAATCAAACACTTTCTGTGATGTATCTACCTCAAAGGCACCCCTCACTCAACTCCTTCACTCTTTTGCCAGTCATCTTTCACATATTTCTTGAATGTATTGTAGCCAAACAAATATGGGACAATTAAGAATCTTAAGATAGCTGCTGCATATTTCGTATACAAATACTTTATGTTTCTTGTCTCAAAATGTATTAGCACCTACCTATTATAGCTTAGACAAAAGGGCAGAATAATAAACACATTCATTTTGATAAATAGATTCTAATCTAGCAAGCATCTACAAGACTTCGGTCGGCAATTTTTATTTTTTATTTTTTGGCTTGCTATAGAGCCTTTTTTCCCCCCTCCTTTTTGTGGCGGGGTGGCAGATTGTTCTTGAAAAGTTGATTAACAACCCAAAAGAACAATTCGCATACCAGGTCTCAGAACGAATATCACAGGCGAGCCACAAAGTTACAAAATATATGAGCTATTAGTTGAGCAATAGGACATCCTTCAATTAGAAATGTTAAGATACAATAATACTAATCAAAGTAATAATAATTAAAAAAAAAAAAACAAAAAAAGGATCCTACACAACAAATAGAATATCTCAAGCCTTTATATTACGATCAACTTCTCAGCTTATATACTGTTCCAAAAGCCATGCAATAAACTTGCTACTTCATCTTTTTCCTTTATTTTACATGCTCAGTTTCTTTACTATTATTTACGAACAATTATGGAACATGCATGCATGTTTGTTGGGAAACATGAGATCGTGACTCTCACTTCAAGTCTTCAAGCACGGGAAACTCAAGGTAAAGTTGGAGGAGATTACAATTAACTTCATACTTCGTCAACACAATCTCCCTTTGAACATACTGTAATTTCCTGTCTATACGGTGAAAATAACTGTCTAACTTCTCACAGCTGAAGAAACAAAAGCAGAAAAAATAAAAAGAAAATAACAAAAAAATTGGCGTTGGAAGAATTCTTGTCTAGGCTAATGCATACAAGCAAAAGTCGATGGTGTATAGGAGCTAGAGACATGAACAGAACAACGAATATGCAGTGACAAAGATCTTACATTACTAGAAAATAAATTTTATCCATCACCAGAATACATACTCGGAGACAAATTTTCTCATAAGATGGTTGAGAATGACTTTGCAAGCTGACAATAGGCTGTGCTGGAAATATTTGATATTCATATTTTAGATTTGTGTATAGCTGTATATAAATTGTGTATTTATGTGAGATAGGTATAATGCCTACTGTTTAAAAGTTACTAGCAGTAATCCCCTGATTAATTAAGGATTGACATTTTAATTTCTCTTTGACTTTCCCTGTAATTCTAGATTATAAATTAGGTTTGCACTACTGATTGGATTAGTATGTTAATACAATTTTTCTTCACATGGTATCAAAGCAGCAAAGTTCCCAAGTTCAAGTCTCACCACCCAATTAAATGAATTGTCCACGTGTTAGGCTTTGATGGGGAAAAAAATAAATTCAGCCTACATGTGAGGAAGCTCATTGAAGATAATAATTAAATGATACATACTTGTTAAAGTTTCCAGCCTTCATTGCTGAGGTATTTATACATCCTCTTTTTAATTCCAACATCTCTGATGTTTATGAGATTTCCATCAAGGTTGCTGCAACTTGTGGAGAAACTCTACCATCCATTAATGTAGTCTCCATTATTCAAGCCAAAGGAGGAAGGACAGCATTATGCTTGAGAGTCAACCCACGGATAGTACAGCCCTAGTTATGGAAAAATAAAGATATGGTGATTTAATATGTTCAACCCAAGGACATAGTGACTGACGTAGGACAATCCTATTATAAATAGGAAAAAAGTTAGATATTTATAATATGATATTTAAGATTTCTAGTTGTATGTAATATGTTGACCTCTTTTTTGTAGGGGCAACGTGGACAATAGATCCAAAAGTCTATCACTTTCATGTAAGCATGCTCCTGTACACTAGGACAAATCGTTAGCTATACATGACCTACTTCGGTCGTGGGGGAGGCGGCCAAGTGCATTCCGACAATCAAATTAGTTGATGAAATAGGTATTTGAATATGGGATGTACTTTAGACGAGCCACTTGTGAAAAAGGGGTTCGACTTTGGGAGAATGTATGAGTAAATATATAGAGCAAAATTATAGCTTGAGAGTCTAAACTTATGTTACCTTTAAATGGCACAATATACGAGCTTTCATGGTAAAACGGCATGAGTAAAAATTGTTGAATGAAGAGACACGTGGTCTCATCCTAGTGGGTGAGGCAACTTGTCATACGCATCAATTGTCAGTTTTAGGCTCAGGCACATTTAATGTTATGACCTTTTGTAGCCCTAGATATGACATATAGAAATTAGACTTCACCTGTTGAGTGGGTTAGGTGGCTGTTGCAGTCTATTATGCTCGAATCGAGTATGAGTATCGGGTATGTATTCAAGTATCGAATATTTTATTTTCTAAAATGTAGGATACAGTGATATGGCTAAAAGAGTCCAAATTTCGGATACAAGTACGTGGGTACGTCTTTCAAGTTTTATTTTTTTTACCATCCCAAGATGTCATTTTGAATAGACCAAAATCAATTATTTACAAAGAAAGAAATAAGTATTAAATTAGGGGTTAAGGGGAATAAAATAGAATTTTGGAGTTTAGTTTTCAATTATGGAAAGTTATTTATTAAATATCATATAAAATAGAAATGAAGGACTTGATTGCAATTTGGACTTAAGGGAGCACTATATGGAACCCATTTTTATTTTACACAAATAGAACCCTAAACCATCGATACAAAGAGAGGAAAAGGAAAAAAAAAGAAGAAAAGGGAAAGAACAAAGAAAGAAGAAGCAAAAATGGTGAAGTGTCTGATTGAAACTTGAAAGATTCAACACATATCTTATACCCATACTCATATCGTGTCATGTCTGACATGGGTACTTCGACCATCTCAAATAGTCCGAGCATCAGAGGTTTCAATGAGTTGTCACATCAATAATTCATTAACGATTTTGTATGAATGATCCTTTGTAGAGCCCCTACCAGCCCTGCCTCATCCATGAGGGTTAGGTCTTCTATATAGGGTTGGATTCGGCAAATGAGTTTGGTCTCTCCATAAGGATTCGGCCTCCTCAAGGGGGTTGGGCCAAAACTACCACTTGGGCAAAACGATGTGAAGTGCAAACCCAAGTTCGCTTGCTATGTGGCAACAATATATGTTATCTTCTTCCTTGTTTAGAATAAGATTCCTAATTTTCTTTAGATTTGAATTTGAGTTTATTTCCTTTTAAAATTTAGTTTAATTATTTTAGTTTCCTTATATTAATAAGATTGGGGAATAATTTTGCCTATAAATGCAAAGGTATTGTACACTTTTTTGGAACATCAATTATTATTCACTATACACAAAGCAAGATTATTTCAATATCATTCTTATTTATTACATAATTCTTCTTACAAGAATTTCACAAACGATTCTGCGCGAGTGCTAATAATGTAGTGTCAAACTTGCAAAATTTAGTAAATAAGAGATTGAAAAGCTAAAGAAATTTTTGAGTTTGTTAAGAGCAGCCTACGGATACATCAAGTATTCTCTTCTCTCATGCACTATGTGCTTCACATATATCATTTTCACATCCTTCGATCATTTACTCGGGAGCTACAAATCGTATAATACATTCCTCACAAAACTTCTATATCCTAGCAATACGCAAGAATCCATTGCAGACGGGTCATTAGCCACTATTGCAAGCAAAGAATAATCAACATAAATTCATCTTTGGAGTCTTAAAAATGTTTTACATGCACCTCATCATTCCACCAACCTTGTGTCTATATATCAACTTGCTATAAAATTAATTGCAATATTATTTTTCCCTACTCGTCGTGTTTTACAGGGTTACAGAAAGGATGACTGGGCATGCTAAGGAAAAAGGCGGACTCTACTACCTCTAAACAAGTGGTGGCAATGTGAGCAATGTTAACCAACTACCTTTTCTATATTTATCCAAGTCGTTTCCATAAGTAAAGACCAATTTTGGCTTACCATTTTCGTGTTGGTCATCCTTCATTTAAATCACTTATGTTCATGTTTCCTTGGTTATTCAAAAACATTGATGTAAACACATTTCATTGTGACGTTTGTGAATTTTCCAAGCATCATCATGTTTCATTTCATTAGGTAATACTAGTCATCACATGCTTTGCATGAGCTTTATATTTATTGTATTTTTATTAGTGTCAAATAGATTTTTCAAAACTTGTTATAGATTCGAAGTGTTCGGTGAAATCCGATCATTTGGTTCATTGCAGTTAAAAAACTTTATAATAACTTTTTTTGGCCTATAATTTTTTTCTTTAATTTGTTAAACCATTTAGTTTTTTATTCGTGTTGGTGTAAAATGATGGTTACAAACTAAATGATTTAACAAATTAGAAGGAAAAAAAATTCAGGCAAAGATAAAAAGAAACAAAAAAAAGTTGTTATAAAGTTTTTAAATTAAATTGAAATAAATAAAATTAAAAATAAATATTATTTAATTAAAATTGGAAAAAAAATGCGTTTTATCATAAAACAAAAAGAATTTTAAATCAAAAAAAATATTTATAATATGAAGAAGAAAAGAAATTTTAAAACAATTTTAAAAATATATATAATAAAAAAATAAAATAAAGTTACAAAAATTAAATAAAGAATATATAAATATTGTTTAGTTAAAAGAATGGACAAATTTTTGATGAAAAGAACTGTCTCCCTATTCCCCAAAAAAAAAAAAATTATTGATGAAGTGTAAAGTCTTCGTGCACGGAGAGACTTCTCTCCAAAACCATGGCGAGATTTCTCTCCATCCCACACTATTATTATTATTATTTGCTTCATTTTGTTTTGTTCATATTGTAAATAATTTAAAAAAAAAAATTCTTTTTTTGTTTCTTTTTATTTTTGCCTGTAATTTTTTTGTTGTTTAATTTGTTAAATCGTTCAATTTCTTTTCTTTATCAGTTGAATTGGATGAGAAGAAATAGTTTGTAAAAATTGAGAAGTATTTCAGTAGAAGTGATGGTTGCAGTGAAGTTGCGTGTGAAAATATATAAATAATTGAAGACAAATGACGTCGTTTTTGCTCCCACAATAAAAAAATGGCTACAATGAGATCAAATGAAAGAATTTATTGTTGATTTCTACAATAACTTCACATTCTCCTTTTAATATAGTAGGGAAAAAATCTTCAATCTCATTTGCCTTAATTCACATTGATATTTGGGGACCATTGCATGTTTATAACATTTCAGGAGCTCGATGTTTGTCCGCTTGATTGCACTCGTCATTTAATGACTTTTGATTAAAAGAAATGCACAATTACAATTGCTTTTTCAATGTGTTTTGACTCCAACAGTCATATTAGTAAAGCTTTTACACGAAAATTATATTTTTACTTCTTGGTGAAATAATGTTTATTTTCCTAGTTTTGATCCATATATTATTTTTATAGTTTTGCTCCGCATATTATCCTTAACCTATCATTTTTTGTGGTTCAACACAAATGTATTAAATTTAAACTAAGGGTGGACAAAGCAAAGTGCATAAGTTGCACAAATAATGTTATGCTACACATTTAAAATCTACAATTTTAAGTCCTCATTCTGCAATAATATGACTTCTCCTTTTTCTTAGTCATTTTCCTTTGTCAATCCATTCCCCAATATTATGCCGCGACTTCTCTAGGTCACAGTGAGATCGTGAATAAGGAAAACACATATCCCCATTTAAATGAGTAATTAATAGTACAATTGGATGTCAAGGTATTCAATTTCTCCTTTTTAACTCGATAATCCTCATTGTGAGGGTTCCTTTGTATATATAGGAATAATAAGGCAAATTCCATGGCCGAATGTTAACTATCACTGTACATAAATGGAAACTGAGCAATTTTCTACCAATTACAACTAATATACAAAGCTATACAAAGCATCTCTAATTCTAACGTTAATTACTTGCTGGCCGTCAATTACTCTTTCTATCTAATTGACATCCCCCTCAAATTGATGCGGGTGATCAAGAATTGACATCAATTTGCCCACAAGAAAGAGATGACGTTGTCGTGTCATGGCTTTGGTGAATATGTCGGCAATCTGTAGATCAGTAGAGATATGCGGAAGAGAAATAATATTTGCATCAAAAGCCTCTCGAATTGAGTCACAATCTACTTCGATATGCTTTGTACGCTCATGATATATTAGATTTACAGCAATCTGAATAGCACTAGTGTTGTCCGCATGAAGGGGTGTAGGATTAGACCGAGGAAAGCCAAGTTCAGCTAAAAGCCCACGGAGCTAAATAATCTCAGAATAGGCAGCGTACATGGCACGGTATTCACATTCAGTTGAAGATTTAGACACACGTACCTGCTTTTTACTCTTCCAGGAGATCAAAGAATTACCAAGAAACATACACCAACCCGTAACAGAACGACGAGTATCAAGGCAACCGGCCCAATCTGTATCACTAAATGCAACAAGACGAATAGGAGACCCAGAAGGGAAAAACAATCCACGATGAGGAGTACCTTGGAGATACCGAATGATGTGACAAACTGCCACAAGATGAAGATGTCGTATAGTTTGCATAAACTGACTGACTTGCTGGACTACGAATGATATATCAGGCCTAGTGATGGTCAAGTAGTTGAGGCTCCCAACTAAACGACGAAAGATAGTCGGATCAGGAAGGAGCTCACCCTCTTCACGACGATATTTAACATTGACTTCCAGAGGAGTCCCGACAGAAGAAGAATCTTGAAGACCAGTCAAAGTGATCAAGTCTTGGATATATTTGTGTTGGTTCAAAGATATACCTGTGGAATCAGTGTGTACTTCCAAACCCAAAAAATATGTAAGTGGTAGACCAAGATCCTTCATGTGAAAGGAAGCCTGTAGATGCTGCTAGAGTTGAGTTATCAAACCAGAACCCGTGCCAGTGATAACAATATCATCCACATACACAAGTAAAAGAACAATATCTGTAGATGTTTTACAAAGAAATAGGGAGGAGTCATACTGACTCTGGATAAAAGAAAGCTGTAATAAAGTAGATCGAAACTTCTCAAATCATGATCGAGGAGCTTGTTTCAGCCCATAAAGAGACTTCTTTGGCTTACATACTTGTGAAGAAGAGGAAAAAAGACCCGGAGGAGGCGTCATGTAAATATCTTCCTTGAAATGACCATGAAGAAAGCATTTTTGACATCCATTTGGTGAAGAGGCCACCCCTGAGAGGCTGCAATAGAAAGAACAGTGCACACTGTAGTCATCTTTGCCACTGGAGCGAATGTCGCATCATAATCTACCCTATATTCCTGCTTATTTTCGAGAGCAACTAGGCAAGCTTTATAACGATCCAGAGTTCCATCAGAACAAAGCTTAATAGAATATACCCACTTACAACCAATAGCCTTGACATTATGTGAATAAGGAACAACATCCCAAGTATGATTATCCTGAAGTGCTCGAAGTTCTTCATCCATAGCTTTCCCCTAGCATTCATGTTTAGCTGCTTCTAAATAACTAGGACGTATAGATGTCAATGTAGCTGCTTATTCAATTTAGTTTCTTAAGAATTTTATATTGGGATTATTGGGCTTTCTACTGGACTTTGGTTTTACTGAATTTATATTGGGTCCTTTTTTCGCTAGTATAATTAACTACGTACATCATGTCAACCAACATGTCTGAAACTTTCGGTGTGCGGTTCACGGGTAAAAATTATTCTACATGGGAATTTCAATTTCGATTATTCGTTATGGGAAAAGAATTATGGGGTCACATTGATGGAAGTGACCCAGCTCCTACTGAGAATATTCAATTGGGCCAATGGATAGTGAAAGATGCTAGGGTTATGACATGGATTTTAGGATCTGTTGATCCTATGATTGTCCTAAATCTAAGACCTTATAAGACTGCTAAAGAGATGTGGGAGTATTTAAAAAAGGTCTACAATCAAGACAATACAGCCAAACGATTTCAATTGGAGTATGAAATTGCAAATTACACTTAAGCCAATCTCAACATCCAGGTTACTTCTCTGGGTTTCAAAGCTTATGGGATGAATTTGCTGATATTATCTATACTAAAGTACCAGTTGAATCTCTTGCTGCCATTCAAACTGTACACGAGCAAAGCAAGCGAGACCAGTTTCTAATGAAGTTACGTCCAGAATAATAAGGCAAATTACATGGCTGAATGTTAGCTATCACTGTACATGAATGGAAACTGAGCAATTTTCTACCAATTACAACTAATATACAAAGCTATACAAAGCATCTCTAATTTCGATGTTAATTACTTGCTGGCCAATCAACTACTCTTTCTATCAAATTGACATTGGATTCTTTTTTAAATGTCACTAGATTTAAATATTGTGGCATTCAATAAAACAGAGCATAAATCAAATGCCAAGCTTAAGGAGAAAAACTGTACACCTTTTAAATAAATCGGTAATAGAAAGAAAGATTTAACCACAGGAAGACAAAAAAGATCAATACACAAGATTTGGATGACTGGAGTAGATTTTGACATTTAGAATTTGTATGAGCCCCATTTTTATCCAAAAAATGCATCTTTGAATAATGTATTGATGGGAAATGTGTAATTAAAAAATAAGGAGAAATTTTGGATTTGCATGCAATATTGCCCTTGTTTGAGCTCCATTTTTGTGAAGAAAATGAATTTTTGAATAGTGTATTGATGGAAAATGTGTGGTTACAAAATAAGGAAAAAATTTTGATTTGCGTATAATATTATTTTATTAAAGAATGTGTGGTTGAAATGTTGTCAAATCACTGTTAAAGAATGTATTTTGGTTGAAAAATGAGGCTCAAACAAGAGCATTATTTTATCGTAGAATGTGTGGTTGAAGCTAGGTCAAAACACTATTTAAGAATGTAGTTTTTTCAAAAAATGGGGCTCAAGCAAGGGCTTATACATGCTGAACTCCGTACGAAATGATACAGATTCAATTGTGGATGTGAAGTTGATCGTGAGTTGTGTTGGTTTGAATCAATTCAAATCATTAAGTCAAAAATCTTTGAAATTGACATAGCCGTTGCATCATTTTTACTGAGGTAAGCCACATGTCCTTTTCTTGATTTCACACACCAGGAGTAAATGAACTGAAATTCCCATAATGTGCTTTCAGTCTTTTTGAACTCCATCACTCACGTGATCCCGCCCCTTAAAAAACTCATCACAACCATTTCAAACTTGAAGAAACATTAAATCCATTCCTAAAGATGCCGGCAACTACACCTACACATGAATGTTTTTCTTGACAAGAGAAAAAGAGCAAGAGATCACACTCCCAACCTACCTTCTCTTTGTACTTTTCTACTTCTGCGTGTTTTTCATTTCTTCACATTCACTTGCTCCATCTTTTTGTGCTATATATTGACCTCATTTTTTACTAAGTCCCTCACTTCTATTCTCAAACAAGAACTGTAGCCTCTTTTCGACAACCAAGGAGAGGGAAAACTTTTCTCATCCATTCCCCTCTCCTTCAACAAAGACTTGGGAAGGTGATCTTGCTTGAAAAAGCTTCATAGAGGCCTCTCTCTCTCTCTCTCTCTCTCTCTCTATTTTCTTAAACATTCTACAAATACAATTTTTATACACCTTCACTTATTCTATAACATTCTAATTATTGGGTATACGGATTGTTGTGAAAGGATTTTTCTCTTCTTCAACAGCTTTCTTATAATTGTCTAAATTATTTTTATTGCATTTGGTACACTATATTCTAGATTACTTTTTGCACACTTAATTTCTTCTACTTCTAGCAATGGACAAAGAATAACCTATTTGTAATTGAGTTTGGACATGTTTTTTTTCTCTTCTCTCTCTCTCTCTCTCTCTCTCTCTCTCCTTTGAATATTTTACTAATGATCTTTTTTCAAAATGAGATAGTTCAAAGCTGTACACTTATTCTTAATTTTCATTTCTTGTGTTTGCTTGATCTTTCCTTGTAGAGTCTTCTCCAAAAAAAAAGGGCAAGCACTTTATGACATTTTTGTTACACAGAAACGGAGAGGAGCAACTCAAGGCTAAAGTCAGAGAACCATGAATCGACAAAGGAAAATGAAATGCTGATGAAGATGCTGAGGAATCTCGAGCAAGAGAATCAGGCACTGATTCTTGAGTACAACGAGCGATGCTGGCAGTTCTACCAGGAAGCTGACACTGCTGTGGTCAACAACCCAGGAGCTGCCACCAATCAAGCACCAAGCTCCCTCCCTAATCCCAACCAGCCATCCACCTCCTCCAACTCCAATTCCACTTAATCCAGCAAGAACTCAAGCTGGACATACATGGCCCCACCTAAACTCCTCTTTTTGCTACCTTTGTCTTAACACCATTTAGGAGTCAAAAAATAGTTAAGACTAGTGGAAATTGTTTGCAGTAACAGTAACAGTTATTCTGCATATGTTCCCTATCTTCTTTTTCCTAAATTTTATTTTCTTCTTTATGTTGGGGGTGGGGTGAAAGTGTGTATCTGAACTTGAAGATATATCAGTCCATCTCTGGGTAATTATCTCAATTCCATCCATCTCTGTTAAAGGACAAATATTATATTTTCTTATTTTGCTCTTTTAATGGTAAGCACTGAATATAATTTCTATGCTAGGTTTCTTAACTGAACATTAATAAATGCTACAATCTTGTCAATTGGTGTCTCAATTTCAAGAATGATAAACCAGAAATTTCAGTTGTCCAGTAAAACAATATTTTTTTCATGGTAAAACAGTATTTTTTCCATTAAATCATGGATGGTATGACCATAATGCTCACATAAATGGAACTAAAGTTCCTTTGTTCCATTGCTATATCAATAAATTGGAGATATTCATTGCAACATTTAAATCACTGAATTGGAGATTCATTCCTTGAATGCATTAAACAAGGAATGAGAATAAAACCAACAAATTGCCAAACTTTATTTTCCACTCAGACTTTCCAAAGATGGGTGGTACACACTAATAACGTTTGGGACCCATCTTTGGCGAAACAAAAAAGGTTGGGTACTTAGTTGCACAATTTCTATACATTCGACCGCCACTGCGATCTTCCCAATAAATTATATCAATACATGTAGCGTCAACCTAATTGTAGTGTGTCTAATACTAAGCAGCTACGTGACCATTGGATGTCTCCCTCAATTATCTGAAAATCTAACATGCTAATCTATAGATGATGGCATGATTTTATGAACTTTAATTCCAAGAAAATCAAGATTCAATTTTGAATCAAGATTAGGCCATCATAGTTTACTTTTATGGTCAAATAAATAAAGGCATGAAATGCTCTCACATAATTGAAAAAGAAAGTTATGTTTAATAGTCTTTTCCAATACAGTATGAGGAAAAAATTAGACAAATGAACAGATATAATTTACAGCATTAAAAACATTCATTTCCGCAACTATATATAGCTAAAGAAAAACAAGACTTGGGTTGGCTTTTCAACCTTTTTGGGTTATTTGTCAGCGTTTAGTTTTATTTGATAATTTTTTCAAATAATCACAAACTTTAGGCGTTTGCTCAATTATGACGCGACTTTTCAATATCATGAATCAAGCAAATTGGGAATCGATAATTTAAGTCAGAGAGCAGGCAAGAATTACTACCTTTAATATAATAAACTATATAAAAAGTAATGCTCCCCCATGGAAATGAATTCAATATAACGAATTATTACCTCAAAGTCTCAACTGAGAGAGCAGGCAAGTATTGCAATCAGTTTTCGCAGGCGCAGAAAGTGGTGATAGTCCCCCCATGGAGATACATGGGCTGAAATGCGGATGGGCCAATATGATCCCGAATATGGCGGACATAAGCACCAGTAGATGGTTGGTGGTGAAGAGTAACGCAAATGACTTGACGGGAGACAGAACGAAGGCAATGTCGCGGTGGAACAGAGACTGATGGTGGTGTAGCAGTGGCGGTCACGACTCGTCTAGTGGGCATACGGAGGCGGCGGGTGATGAAGACTCCTATGTCGGAGTCGTGGTGAGTGGAACGGGTGTGAGCCTGGCGAGGGAGCCTGGCGAGGGTTGTGGTTACAAACAAAGCGGGATTTTCTCTACGATATTCAAGAAACGTTCAAGATAAGGAAATAAATAACCGTGCGTTTGGTTCATTATAGTCTCATGCTCCTCTTTGCTAGCAATTTTTCACCTCAAAAAATTAATTTTTGATCGTTATTTTATTATTCTAACCATCATATATTAATCTTTCACATACGGGTAAAATTCACTTTTTTTCTCTAACGGTCAATAAATCAATTCTCATAATTACTACCAAATATACCCTATAATTAATTCCATAAAATATATCAATAGTCAATAATAATAAATACATAATAATTGTGCAGGACCGTTCCTCCTATTTGACAAATGATCGTGATCTTTAATTTAAATCAATTCAACGCTCAATATCTTATGAATCTTAAGTGGTTATAACCAATTCTTCCATCATCCTTGTAAAATATATACTAAGTTTTAGATTGACTTAAATTAAATATAATCATTATTTGTCAAATAAGTGTGTCAAATTTATTAATAGAACGATTGATCCCGATAGACGCATGCGAACAATAACTAAAATCTAACGGAAAAAGCTCCTTGTCCAGAGCTACATGGGTGGCTCTAGACATATAGCAGGGCTCAAATCTAATTTTATTAAAAATTATAATAAGTGGACAGAAATTAAAATCTTCTAGCTCTAATAAATAAAAAAATTAGAAGCAACTTCTAATATTTCCAAACATATCTTAAATGATCGATAATCACAACTCATTCACTAGATGCTCCCACCATTTAGTGTTCTAGCAGGAAATACGTGAAAATGGTCATTTGACCTGACAATATTTCCACAATGGCCTTTGACCATTAAAAAAAAAGAAAGTTTAAATAGATTTTTATATACAATTTCTCAAAAATACCCCATCTTCCACAAACAAAGAAAAGGAGAGGAGAAAAGCAAAAAAAGAAAAAATACACACGTTTACAATCGGAATCCGATCGAGCTCAACGTCCTCATAGTCTACCCACCACAAAAGTCAATCATTATATTCAGCAATGTTAATTTTTTTTTTATTGTTATTATTTTTTGGTTTAAACTATTGATTTTTCATTTTGCATGTTTTTTGAATTTGTATATTAGATTAATATATATGATGTTTATAAAACATTATTTAGGTAGATTAGGGGTTTAGAATGGATTGTGGTGAAGAAAATGAGTTAAGCTCGCCATGTCCGACGAGAACCGACTATTTCGCAAAACGGTGGATTTAACAAACAACCCAAACCGACTTTTTGGGCCCTTTTTTCATTTTCTTTTTTTTTTTCTCTTTTCTTTCTCTTTTCTTTTCTTTCCTTTTCCTTTTTTCTTTTTTAATTTTTTTTGTTTTTATTATATATTTTTTAAATTTGTTTAAATTTTATTTTTCTCCTCATATTATAATCTCTTGTTCGATTTAAAATTCTTTTTTTAATTATTTTTGTTTTATGACAAAATGTAATTTTTCAATTTTAATTAAGCAATATTTATTTTTAATTTTAATTATTTTTTTTTCATTTTTCCCTTTTTTATATTTTTCTTTTTCATTTTCTTTTTTCCCTTTTTCTGTTTTTCTCCATTTTTTCATCATTTTTTTTAAATGGACTGTTTGGCCCAATCCTCATTTGGGCCAAAGAGTCGGCCCTTTTTCCTTTTTTCCTTTTTCCTTTGCTTTTCTTTTCCTTTTTTCCCATTTCCCCTTTTTTGCTTTCAATTTTAATTAAAAAAATTTATAAGAACTTTTTTAAAATTTTGTCTGCAATTCATTTAATTTTTTATTATTATCGATGGAAATGAATCTTTATCTTGTGTATAGTAATTACAATTCGATTCGCTTAATTTTCTGAGATCATGCTTTATTCTTTTATCTCTTGTTCAATGTTCTAAAATTTGAATTTTTGCAGGATAGAATGCCATCTTGATGAGGAGTTGAGATTGATGTTGGGTAAAGCTATTTGGAATGGTAGTTTTAACAGTTTCACTACAGTACTAGAGCTGCTGGATGACTAGCACGCGGATATTTTATGTCAATCTTTCCTTTGGCCCTTATATCACTAGAGGGAGGTCCAGTACTCCACGCATATCATTGATACATTATTGTATCGGTGCTCAAGTCATTCGACGGTTATGCCTTCCACTTCAACCTTGGAAGCAAATTCGCTACGTTTTTCTTGTTTGAGTTTGCCCTGATAACCGGACTAAAAATTACTAGCAATGAAGCAGCTCGTGATGGTATTCAAAGAAGCAACATACTGCATGACGCTTATTTCCAAGGACAAGGGATGGTGCTTCTGTCGCAACTGAATGACGCAATCAGGGGTATGATCAAATGTTAGACAGACTGAAGTTAGCACTGGTCTATTTCCTTGAGAGCGTGGTGCGATGTCATCACAAGAAGACTGCGATCAACCTCTTCTATATAAAGATCGTCCACGATATTGATGCCTTCAACAACTATCCGTGGGATTGGAGATGTTTTGAGGACATCGTACACGTCTTCACCAGATCACACTCGAAATCCAAGAGGTCCGTGTTTAAGTACGATACCTATGGATTGCCCCTGTCACCTATTGGGTAACACACTACCCTCGGATGCATCATTGATGAGCATCTCAAAAGACGAATGACCATATGAGAAACAAAGTATTATACATTTGTGATTTATACGGTACGTAGTTTAAAATCTCATAACATAATTATTAACTAGTTCAAATGTCAATGTCAGCTTGAAGTCATAATCGATTTGACGCTGTCAATGGAGGAGGAGGGTCGAGGTCCTGTGTGTGAATTAGCCATTTCGTATACTCAAGACAATCAAATATTCGATTCAATTCTGGACTGAGATTGGGTATATGAATTGAATATAATTTATTAATTACCATTTTTGTATGAGTTAGCAATTATTAATCAAGTTAATAATTTTTAATATTGTTCTTTGTATAAGAGCACAGTCTAGTTGATTGACAATCACATCCGTTGAGGGCATCACCTCCACCGAGGAGATCTCCTTCTTCCCCGTCCAGACACTTTCTCTGTGGATCTTTTACACACGATCAGGGTCGTTATTTTGATAATCTGTATACCAGTCTAACTGTATTTATAGCGGAGGAGGTCAGCGTGTTGCCATAAGAGTTGATAGGAATGGTCGATGATTTATCCTACGATGTTGGAGTGCTACATGGCCATTATGTAGACCTGCAGGATGAAGTCGCAGCGCTCCGAGATGATATAGCAAGTAAGCAATGGATATCGAAGAGGGTGATGGAGAGGGGGTCACCCATAGTTGTGGTCAGATAATACATTAAAATCATTTTTGTTATTTGTGGAGCGGAAGACAGGTGGCCCCATCGGGGAAAAGAGAGGTCGCAAAGGAGGGGAGAACGGAGAGGGTGGGCCCATCGGGGACGAGAGATGTGGTGGATAAGAAGACGATGGATGAGGTAGCCCGATGGGGATAGGTGAGGTGAAAGATGGAAAGGGTAGCAAGCCCCAAAGAGGTGGTGGTCCCCAGGACGGAGGACTAGAGGATGCTCGCGGGTGACTAAGGGTAAGAAGCGTGCTATTAACGTGCCAGAACAGGTGGTCGTCAAGAGGCCAAGATTGTCGTCAAAATACATCGACTCTCCATTTACGGCTGAGGCAAAGAGGATGAGGTTCGTCGATGAAACGTATCGTAATCTTTTTGGGAAGATGGACCATGCCAAGTGGAAAGCGTTTCAGATGGAGTGGAGAAGAATTTTACCTGAGTAAGTTCTGTATGATTTTAGTAAAGTACTACGCTAACTCGTATATGCTTATTTTAACATTTTTTTTTTATTTTTTTCAGAATCAGCCACACAATAGCTCAAAGGACAACCTTGGATGCTTACAAGTAGTTTCATGACATCACCACTTCGGGAACTTGGCTCCTGGCGATGTAAGTGAAGTAGTCATATTGTTATTTTTTATGTATACACAATTTTTGGTTTATTAAATGAAATAACTCCCTCTTTTTTCGTGTTTCTTGATGTAGCACATCGACCTGGTCATGAACTTGTTGCACGATCGAGCTAAAAGATATCTAAAATCATTTCACCTTTCTGACCGACTAATATTGAACCCTGAGTTCGTCCGTAAGGTTACAATTGAGAATCAGTTGCTCCACATTATAAGTAACAAGTATATGATGCCCAATTATATGCTCAAGTGGATTATCGAAATGTCGCCAAGTGTTGGGAAAGGCTATGTGAGGGTTGTATGCTTATGTACATTTCAGTGATCGTGAATCATCACTATATTATCGTGGTGATCGTCTTCGCTGACTCGACTACATATGTGTACGTTCCTGATCATTCATGTCTAACACGAGATCAACACGAGTAAAACCTAGAGTCGGTGGCTATAATCATTCCTCTGATAACTAGATGAGCGATGATGATTGTACAGGACATGCAAGTCATCGTGTATAGAACTAACAATTATTGTTCAATGGACACGGTATTGAACTAACAATTATTGTTCAATAGCAGGGGCAACTCACATGTTCGCCATAAAGTATACTAAAATCTTTAGTATAGTACATAAGGTTGATGAATCAACGAATGTGGATACAAATTTGGAGAAATACGTTAGTATGCGATTCACACAAATTTAATTGTGATCAATAAATATTATATATTGAATTTTTTTAATTATGAAATAATTGTAAATATTGTTAAATTTATGTAAACATTGTACTTTGAATTTTTTATATAATTATGTAATAATTGTAAAATTTATGTAAACATTATACATTGAATCTTTTTTGTAATTATAAAATAATTGTTTATTTAATTACGAAATAATTTTGAATATTGTAACATATATATAAATACTGTTTATTTAACAACGACATTGTTACACCGGTCTAATTGTCATTTCAGAGAATCTGACTTGTACAAACTTGATGAGTATGCTCTATTGCTCTTCACCTACCATACCTATGCAGTCAAGGAAACTCTCTTGTAAATGGCATTCTGAATGTCGTGGACCTCCAAGGTCACGCGGTTCAACTTC